TTTCTGTATTCTTTTTTTTTTTTTAAAGATTTTATTTTTTCCCCCCAAAGCCCCAGTAGATAGTTGTATGTCATAGCTGCACATCCTTCTAGTTGCTGTATGTGGGACTCGGCCTCAGGATGGACGGAGAAGTGGTGCTTCGATGCGCACCCGGGATCCGAACCCGGGCCACCAGCATCGCAGCGCACGCACTTAACCACCAAGCCACAGGGCCGGCCCTATTTTCTGTATTCTTGATGCTCTGGCATTTTGTGGCCTTGCTAATCCAGAGGGACTTCCCCTCCCAGGGTTAGCCAATTCCTAGAGATAGCAAAGGACTCCCCTGAGATTGCAACTTTCATATGCAAACCAACTATTCCAAAGCCCATACCTCCCAACCACCATCTTTATTGAACTCTCACACACCAAACCAATATCCCCCTGTCCTAATCAACTCAAGGCTAGGGACCAGACAACTTGGAATAGTCACTACACTCCAGAGCCTGCAGAAATTATTCAAACTAGCCAACCCTAAGCCTGCTTACCTTGCCTCACCCATCCCTTCCAATGAAAACCACAATAAAGATTTTTGCTCATACTTTCCCCTCACTCCTTTTGCCTCATGACCAACCCTGTGCTTCCCCATGTGGCCCTGCTTGGCGTGGTGTACCCACTCCTGTTGGGAACTGTAACAAACTATCTTTTCAATAGCAATCATCTCCTGATCTGTTGGCCTCACCATACTTGAATAATAACAAAACCTACATTTCAAAACAGAGGGATTAAGGGAGATGGGAAGTGGCACAGGGAGATGAGGGGAGGAAAAGAGTGGAGAGAGAGGGAGAGAAAGGGGAAGTAAGTAGAGGGTGTCTGTGTTACTCTCTGTATTTATCATCTTCCTCCTCTCTCCTCCATCCACCTTGGTCTTCCCATCATGTCTCCCTTCTCCCTTTCCCCCCAGGTTTTATCTCATCATAGACAATGAGTGATCTTTGAACCTGAAGAATGAGGCCTCCCACATGCATGAAAGATGGAGAGAAAGTCTTCCTTCAAGGGCAGGAGCAGTTACAGGTTAGGGAACTCGATGGACAGGATGGTGACTAACAGATGGTCTGAGAAATCTGCATCCAATGTCCAGGTTCATCTATACAACCTCAGGAGTGAGGGGAGTTTGCCATTGGGGGAGCTGAGCCCAGAGAGGTGTACTGGTGCCTCGGCCAAGTCTGTGCATTTCTTTACCCTTCCAGAAGGGATGTTTGGAAGACAGTGGAGACTTCTGAGGACACTACAAACATTTTACTGTGAGAAAGTGAAATGGCATCTTGGCTGGAGTAGAGCTGGTATGTGGCATTTGGCCACACTACCCCTAGAAGTCCTCTTACTCCTGGGGTCCATGGCTTCCTGACTCTCAGGGACTGAGGCACAGCTCAGCCACTTCCTTTGATTTGCCCTACCTATGGGAACACCCACAGTGCGGGAGGGAGGGAGGACCAAGCCTTCAATTAGGGTTCACAGACCTGTGGGATGGACTGCCTAAAGCCCTGAGGAGGGATGGATTGGAAAGAGAGACAGTGGGACCTCAAAGAAAATTCACCAGGAGTGGAAGGACTCGGTCAGAGGGACCAGTGTGAGCCTAGGGGGGTGGGTGAACCAACAGTGGCTGGTTCCAGGTTCAGCGTGACACTATTCTTTTTTTGTGTGTGCGTGTGTGAGGAAGATCAGCCCTAGCTAACATCCATGCCAATCCTCCTCTTTTTTTGCTGAGGAAGACTGGCCCCGGGCTAACATCCGTGCCCATCTTCGTCCACTTTATATGGGACGCTGCCACAGCATGGCCTGACAAGGGGTGCATCAGTGCACACCCGGGATCCGAACCCAGGCCGCCAGCAGTGGAGCGCGTGCACTTAATCGCTACACCATGGGGCCAGCCCCAGCATGACACTATTTTTGATGTTCCTGGGTTTGGCACACATGCCCCCTCTAGTGCCTAAGTGTTCTAGGACAGAGAGCACAGGAAAAAGAACTCTCATAGGCACTTCCTTTGCAGAGACGGTCACAAGGAGTAGAAGGTGTTTTTCTACATGCCAAGGAGGAAGAATAGTGTAGGGGCCAGTGGTCCAGAGGAAGAGACAATGGTGTGGTGGTGTCCTGGGGATAGTGTGGAGGTCACCAACAAGCCAGCAGGATCCACCTAACACCAAAGCAGAAGAATTGCATATGGCAGCTCTAATTTTATGTGAATAACATTCTATCCCTGATGCATCCCCACTCCCACCATCCCCAGTTCGAGATGCCTAATGGGAAAAATGAGGCGGGGCACCATCACACGAAAAGCCAGGCATAGGGTATAGAGATTTTGGCTTTTCCTGTAATTATGACTCTCTTCCTTCTTTCTCTCCTCCTTCCTTTATCCTTGCTTTCTTCCTTCCTCCTTCCTCCCTTCCCTCTTCTGTTTCTCTCTCTTTCTTCCTCCAACTTCTCTTTCTTCTTCTTCCCTCTATCCCCCCCTTTACTCTCCGTAGTCTCTTTCTCCTTTCTCTCTTTCCTTCCTCTAACCAAACATCCACTGCACACTCATGCAGTGCGTCGGTGTGCGCCCAGGGTTCTGAACCCGCGAACCCCGGGCCGCCGCAGCGGAGCACGTGCACTTAACCGCTTGCACCACCAGACCGGCCCCTAAAGCCTGTGTCTTTATCTCTTGCAGCTATCAGCTCCCAAGGGACTTGCTTGTGAATGGGCAGTTACAATTCAATATGGTTAACACTGCAATAGAGGGATTTACAAGGCCCCAAGGAGCCCAGGGGAGGAAATACCTAAGAAAGTGCTGCTTCACTTGAGTCTTGAAAGGATGAATAGGAATTAGGCAGGTAGAGAAGAGGGTAGGGATGTGGGCTGAGGGCATCCCCTAGAAAGGGCACAGCATGTAGTAGAGGCCTGCCAGAGTCTGAGATCTTGGGGGAACCACAGATGGAGCAACTAGATGTAGCTCCCCAATGTCTCATTTGAGTCTCACAAATGGAACCCAGGTTCAATGGTCTTGGCAGCCACTGTGAAATGAGACTACTGCCAAGTGAGAGGTTCCCAGAATGATGGGCTCACTGCTCTTGTATTCCCAGCCCTGTCATCTCTCAGAAACAGGTTTTTTAAATCATCAACACAATACTTTTGCTACTTGGGAAGCCACATCACCCTTCCTAACGTCTGGGTTCTGGGCCTTGAAATCTTGCTGTGAAGTCACTGGCACACTATCTCCTTACATGCGTGTCACTGTAGGCCCTGAGAATTTTCCACTTTTGTCCTTTCAGGGGATTTCTGTGGGCAGTCTGACTGCTGGACCACTGCCATAGAACAGTGCTATTCACAGTGTGGTCTGCAGGCCGGTGCTGGTCCGTGAGTGTTTGTTATAGGCCTGCAATGAGATAAGTACAGAAATTGAGAGTACATGTTTAGGAATTTTATAGATTTTTAACATGGATGTTACATCCAAGAACATGATCAGTTTCATTTTTTATTGTATTTTACAAAAGTATTGGTTCGTGAGGGATTGGAAATTTTATAAAAACAACAGCAAAAAACAGTTCTTTACTACAAGTGGTGGTACTGGTCTAGAAGCAATCACCATTCAGGACCACGGACAGCACCTCACCCGGCCTCTCAAACACTGCGTCATCACCTCTGCCTCTGCTCCCAGCTCCTGCAAAGGCCTCCGGTGAACTAGCTTCCCAAATCCAAAAGATGCTTTTCAGCCTCTGTCTCAACTGACCTTTCTAAAGCATTTGACTTTTGTTAACACCTGCACCTGTCATTTTTGTTTAAAGATCATTCCCAATGAAGGAATAAAAAACATTCCCCTAGGATTATCATACTGCTAAAATGAGGGGACAACTCCTGATAGCTAAAACATATTATTAATCTTAATAAACACTGTATTGACTTTGCTCTTCAGTGGGGTCTTAAAGGACAGGATATAGGTCATATTCATTTTTGTTTCCAACATGTATCATAAGACCTGGCCTAGAATTTGCGTAAGCAAACGCCTGCCACTTATCAGCTGGATGACCTTGGGCAAGTTATTACTCAACTTCTCTTTGCCACTGTTTCCCCAGTTGTTAAATTAGAATAATATTAGAGTCTACCTTATAGAGTTTTTAAAAGATTAATTCAGTTAATACACTTAAAAGTGCTTAGAACAGTGCCTGGCACAGAAGAATAAAGTATTATTATTTTCATCATCATTATTAAATGTTGCGAATAAACCAATGAAACTCTATTATCACCAGGCACTAGATGGTGGAGAACTTCATCCCCCACCTGGGTAGGGCTTCAGCTTTATACTGACAAGTTTGAGTATACACTGCTCTACCCAGGGCACTGTGAGCTTTGGAATTCTTGAGATTTGCTTTTCCTGGGTCCCCATCCTGTCACGTTGGCCCCACGCTCCCAGCCCTTTCAGTTGTGTACCCCTCTTCCTTTTCCAGTTGCAATCCTGCCACCTTCTTGCACCCTCTAGGCTCACCCACAACCTCTTCTTTTTGGTCCCTAGTGCAGAGGAAAGGACTCTGCAGGAAGGGTCCCCCGTGCAAGCGGGCCTGGCACTTCCTGCCCCCTCAGTGACTCAGCCCAACTTACCTCCTCCCTCCATGTTCTTTCTTCCTCTGATCCCTTAAGTGGCCTGCTGGCTGCTAGGCAATCCTAGGTCCCTCCGCCTAAATTGTTCCTGCCTCTTGCTGCTCAGGGAGATTTGAACCATCCTTCAGGGTTTGGGTCAAATCTACCCCTTCTATTTCTTCTTTCCCTTCCTGAATTACTACTTCAACCTCTAAATCCCACAGGGCTTCTCTGCAGTTCTCATTCCGTCTCACCATGCCACCCACCATCAATTCTAAGCTGTTCGAAGTTCAGGTCAAGGTCATAAACTTTCCCCATCCCCACGCTCTCAGCACCCATCTCCGGCCGCTGCTCTGCAAGCTGCAGAGGGCAAACCCCTCCCCTCTCTGAGGCTCAGTTACCCCATCAGCAAGATGGGGAGACCGGGCCGGGGGAAGCCCTCTGGAGCGCCGCACCGGTGAGGCGGGGTCTCGCGTGGCCCCGGCGTAGCGTGTGTCGGCGGAACGCGCGGGGGCGGGGCCGCGCGGGGCCTCCAGGGAGTCGTAGTCCAGCGAGTTCGCAGTCTCCGAAGGCTCCGCGCGGAGGCCGGCAGACTCTCCTGGGAAGGTGGCGGGGGCATGTGGGGCCCGAAGCGCTGGGCCTCTGGCCAGCCCCGGGCGGGCATGGGGCGGTGGGCGGGCGCCCGGACTGGCCCTGCCGCTGTTGCTGGGGCAGCTGCTGGCGCTGCTGGGCCGCGGGGGCGCGTTCTACCTTGAGGTCCGCGAGCTGGAGGAGAAGTGCTTCATCCAGGAGATCCCCGATGGCACCGTGGTCATAGGTGCGCGCGCGGCCAGGCCCGGCCTTGCCCTCCTTGCTCCCAGAGTCTTGAGAAGGGATGGGGAATGGGCGCCACGGCATCAGCTCAGGCCTGCACCTCTCCTCACCTGCCTGGGGTGGGCACGGGTGGTAAATGGGTAGACAGCAGTCTGGCCAAAAGATCCCCTCCCCTGCCCGAGCCGGGATTGGGGACGCCGAGAAGGCAAGTCTGATCCAGACAGGGATGAAGGGAAAAAGGGGAGCTGGAGAGGGGAGGTGAGACGCGGAGAGCTGTGGTCAGGCCCCGCACTCAGACACCCGGATCTTCCTTTCCTCCCTCGACCCCAGTGGCCCCGGGAGGTACTGAGTGGGCCCTTGGTTGTGGGTGTGGATGGGGATGTGTCCCGGCTGCCTCTCCACTAGGTAACTACAAGACCGAGCTGTATGACCCTGCTATGGAAAAGTACCAGCCTTCTCCGCAGTGGATCAACTTATTCGTGTTTGTGAAGGACCCCGAGAATAAGGTGAGGCATGCTTTGACTCCCTGCAGCCCCCTACGCCTCCAGCGTCAATGCTTAGTCCTGCATTTCTCAGAGCAGGGCCCGTCTCTTTACAGGCAGGAAAGCTCAAGGAAGGCCATGCTCTTTGCAAACTGTAGAGTACTGTATTTTGTTAATGCTGGGAACTGAGACTTGCCAGCCCAAACTGATGCCATTTCACTCACACCCTCCCCTCTCACGTGGCCTGTGGGGGACTGGACCTGGGATATCCCCAGAGTTCCTCTTCTGCAAGCAAGTTCCTGGCCAGATGCTCTGTGCTCACTGGAGGCTGCTTCTTCTAGAACCTTCTGGCCCGTCAGTATGGCCCTCAGGGCAGCTTCACCTTCACCTCCCAGTCTCCCGGAGAGCATCAGATCTGTCTTCACCTGGAGTCCATCCGGTTCGCTCTCTTCTATGATGGCAAACTGGTGAGTGTGGCAGGCGGAAAGTCCATTGTCCCTGGGGGCTCAAGGTCTCAGTCCCTGGGGTGAGAAGGACAGTGGGTGGTGCCTGTTGAGAGAGCTGAGGCTCTACATAAAGTAAGCATACAGAGAACAGCTCCTGAAGAATGAGAGGGGCCCTGGGAGGGAGTTACTGACTTAAAATCCTCCCTTGGCTCCCTGCCATCCCTAGGATAAAGACCAAGCTTCATGATGTGAAATTGACAGCTGTTGAGCATCTGACTGCTCCTCAGCTCTCTATCGCCACCTCCCACCAACATGGAACTTCTAGTAGCTGCCTGTCTCAAACACTGAGTCATACCTGTTTCTTTGCACATGTTGTCCCATCCCTTCTGTCTTTTGAACATCGAACTCCATGCAGGCAGGGTCCTGATCTGGTGTTTTGGCACCCGGAGCAGGGCTAGTCCCCGAGTCAGTGAGTGTGAGGAACTGAACTGCCAGTGTCAGGCCCAGACTGGGGTGTGGAAGCTGGGTTTCCTGCAGGTGCATAAAGCTGAGCTCCTTGACCCTCGACCCTTGGCTCCCCTGTTCCCCAGGCCATTCACTTGGACATGCAGTTGGGTGAACACACCAATGATTATGCAGAGTTTGCAGCCAACGACAAGCTGACCCTGCTGCATCTGCGTGTGCAGCAGCTGGTGGAGCAGGTGGAGCAGATCCAGAAGGAGCAGGAGTACCAGAGGGTGAGGGGCTGGGCTGGCCCAGTTGGGACAGAAGATGTGTAACCTCCCAGGGAGTGGCTCTTCCAGCTCCTCCCCCAGGGGGCGATTCAGTTCTAGCCAGGCATGTTCTCCATTCTCCTCTCCCACAGTGGCGAGAGGAGCGCTTCCGGCAAACCAGTGAGAGCACCAACCAGCAAGTGCTATGGTGGTCCATTCTGCAGACCCTCATCCTTGTGGCCATCGGCGTCTGGCAGATGCAGCACCTCAAGAGCTTCTTTAAAGCCAAGAAGCTGGTGTAGGTGGGCCCCAGAGACCAGAGATCCTGCCCTCACTCACTCTCCTTCTGCTGACTGATGGAAAATGGACTGGCCTGGTCTATCTCTTGGCTTCCCCCACCCCTCCCAACCCCACAGGGCTTCCTTGCTACTGGCAGGGGGACAAAGGACCTCTTTGAACTGGTTTCTCAGCCAGCACTGGGGAGAAGATGGGTTTCCAGCTGGAGACACTTGGGTGGGGGGAGCTGTAGGCTCCTTTGTGGCTCTGTGATGCTGAGCAGGAGGAGTATGAGGGTGCCCCCAACCCCCATGTTAAAGAGGATGGATGAACTATCCTAAAATGGAGAAATAAGAGTGAACGTCAATTATAACTGACCAGCTTTATGACCTAAACGTTTATTGCCTCCTACTCTGCACTTCATTCTGGCATTACATGTGTCCAATCAAATGTGAACATTTGAGGCCCTGCGTGCACTGGTGGGGGACCAATCCCCAATGGATGGGGTGAAGGAAACTTGTACCCCAGAAGCCTTGGCAACATGTGGAGGCCTTTCCAGAAAAGTCCAACTTGGGCCCATCTTTTGGGTAACCTGAGTGCTATTGGTGATCCTGTGCCTCTCTCTCTGGGCTCTGGTCAGGTTTGTGTGCTATCCCATTCCAGTCATCTGGGTTGCTGGGTACTTCCAGGAGTCAGATGGGTACCTCTCTCTTCCTGCTATTTTTCAGTTGACCTGTGTCTCCCTTTATGATGTCCTTGGCTCATTTTTTCAGGAGATGCTCATTATTGCAGGATTCCAAGTCACTGTTTCCGTTATATTCAACAGCTCCCTAACTCAGCCTTCGCATGTGCACACAGGTGTAGATCACCAGGCATCCATGTCCCCATTGCTCTGCCTGATCTAGCCCACATTTTACCAAGCCCTGTGCTGGTTGACCTGTTGGAATATTCATCATCTCATGTGAATTTGACATTTTCTGTTACAAGGAAATTCACTGGTTGGCACCCTCAACAAAATCAAGTCCAAATTGTCAAAGCCAAAGATACCAATAAAGGGAGACTCCCCATGAGGAGGGGCAGCTGTAACAGCCCCAGCTCTTGGCCCCTGAGATAGACTCACCCTCCCCTGGGATACTCATCAGGGATGACTGCAAGCCTCTAGTGCTGCTCATTTGTGGGTCTGGCCACGATTGGCCTCTGGAAGTATGAATGAGACTTAACTGAAGGCTGGTCGAGAGGCACTAGAGAGTAACCTTTGTCCAGAGAATGTGACCTTAGGGTCCACTTCCCTCACCAGAAGCTGGGGGGGGTGGGGTGGGGGGATGCTCTGCTCTCTGCCGCAGGGGAAGCAGAGTGACCCAGACGGGCACTTTCTTGCCCACAGAACCTGTGGTCTGACACCAAATGAGGCAGGACATTGAATAAGGATGATGCATGCGTCTAAGAATAAGGACATGGGCTAAGAGCAACATGACAGGAGCCCTGGCAGGGTCTAGGTGGTCAGAGAAGGCTGCTTTTTAGATCTGAGACTCATGATAGGAGTTAGATGGGGGAAGAGCGTTCTGGCCAGAGGGAATAGCACATACAGAAGCCCTAAAGCAAGAAAGAATATGGCAATTTGGGGAAACCTAAAGAAGGCCACTACATCAAAATCCCAACTCCAGAGAAACTGTTTGCAGCCTCCCTTCCAAATTATGACTTCGTGTGTAGGACTTGCCTCTTCCCAATGATTAGCCCCAGAATGACCACCCTTTACAGGGGGCCTCCGGCCTCTACCCATGGGGTTGAGACCTTATGCTGATGCTTCAGTAGGGAAACAAGTCACAAAGGAGTAACAGTGAGGCCAGGGGAGAGCAGCACACACAGGAGGAGGGAGTTCCTTTGTGTTGACGCCCCATCCATGGGACCTCCACAGTCACTGTGGAGGTGATGGCACATGTCCTTGTTTTAGAGAAGAGGGCCAGCTAGTAAGGGATGGGCTATTCCAAAACCTGGCCGATTCAACTCAATTCTGGTGTTCTTTTCTGTCTCAGCTACTTTTCTACAGGTAGAGGAAAATCCCAGACAAAGAGGTAAGATTCCCTGCCTCTTTTTACAGAGATGGCAGTGTGGATGAGAAGTATATAAGTTCAGTGTGGCTCCTATAACAGATTACCACAAACTTGGTAAATTCAAATGACAGAAGTTTATTCTCTCATAGTTCTGGAGGCCAGAAGTACAAAAATCAAAGTCTCAGCAGGACTACACTCCTTCCAAAGGCTCTAAGAGAGAATCTTCTCTTTCTCTTCCAGCTTCTGGTGACTCCAAGCATTCCTTGGCTTGTGTCTACATCACTCCAATCTCTGCCTCCATTTTTTCCTCTTGTGTCTCTGTCTTCTTTTCTGTGTCTTATAAGGACACTTGTCATTTGGATTTAGGACCCACCCAGGTAATTCAAGATGATCTCGTCTCAAGGTCCTTAAGACCGTTTTTCCAAATAAGGTCGTATTCACAGAGTCCGGGTGGTAGGACATGGTCATAAGTTTTGGGGGGGCCACCATTCAACCCACAACAGAGAGCAAGAAGTGTACACATGATAAGGTACCAAGTGATTTAACAAATGGGGGTAATCAGAGCTCTCAGAATTCAGGATGGGGTGAGACCCAGATGGATGAATGGGAAAAGGGATGTCAAGAAAGTCTCTATAAAGGAGATGATACTTGAGTAGAACACTGAAGAATTGGAGGGCGTAAATATAAAGAATGGGGAAAGAATTCCAGATGGGGGAAATGGAGCCTGTAGAGATGCAAATGTACAAAGGATTTCAATATAATTCAATACCCTTAAATTCTATAACATGGTAAGATAGAGGCTTTGAAAAAGAAATGAATCAGGAAAATAAGTGTAGCATGAGTAGGATGAAGCCAGGAGGAAAGTTAGATCAAACAATGAGTGGAAGTGAATATTCTTTCTACAAATTGGACAACTAGAAGTAGGCTGGGCTGTAACCAGAGGCTGCAGACTGGTGGCTTGCAAGTATATTCTGTTTGTCCTGCACAGTGTTTAAAATTTTTTTAAATTAGTTGCCAACAGTAACAGTGCCAAGAGTTTCTGTAGTATAAATTTTGGGACGTATTGGATAGGCAGATTGGTTGGATGAGGGAGCTTGAAGCTGTTTTGCAACATGACATAAATGTGAGCAAATGACAGTTGTGCATATCCAGGTGGTATGATGAAGATTATGAGGAAGGAGTGGGCCTCTCTCCCTAGAGAACACTGTCTTAGACAATCATTCATGGATGAGAGAGTCTTTGTGGAAGTCCAGGTTTCCAGAGGAGAAGTTCCAGCACACAATTGGAGCAGAAAAATATGTTTTTGGACACATTAGAGAGAGTAAGAGGAACAGTTTGACTTTACCTGCATCATCTGTCCCCCAAGGTGGCATAGCTCAGTGTCAAGAAATCACTTTCTTGGCCAATGATTTCTCCCATGGGGTAAAGTGAAAGCATGTAAGTGAGCGCCCAGCTTCCCCAACAGTGCAGGACGCTGCCAAAGAGGTCCATTTCTCTCTTGCCCCATCTGGCGTACTGACTCATGAGCAGCATGACTTGGGAGTGGGAAGAGGCTGGGAGAGTGGTAGATAGGACTCTCAGAGGACGTTAAGGGAACATGGATCCTACTAACTGTCATGAACTCCATTGAGAAGCCTTCCCATGAGCTTCTGGGGACACTTTGCCCATAGATCCCCCCAAATGGCCCGCAGGCACTGCCCAGTGCTCTGTGTGCCTCACCTACACACACCCCTACCCTGTGGCTAGCTCCATGTGTGCACTCCTGATGTAAATGAGAGAAAGCTTTGACAGACATCTGGTGAGCATGTGCAGAAAGCTGACCTAAAGCTGCTGGCCAGGAAGAGACCACAAGCTTGAGCTTTAGCTCCACCCTTGGAAAAGCAAAAGGGAGTCTGTCAGCATCTGGCCTGGTACATTGCAGGATTGAGAGAAGGCATACAAGCTAAGAATTCTGCCACAAGAGGGAGCAAGAAGCGTGAAGCAGGCATAGCAATAGAAAGTCTGAGAAAGCCTCAGAATCCCTGCCAGGGCTGACAGGAGGTATTTCTCTCTGGAAGTCAGTCAGTAAAGACTGGAGGAGGTGACTTCTACTTCAAATGTGAAGACAGTAGCACAAGACTTCAAGGAACATGAAAAATCAAGGAAACATGACACCACCAAAGGATCACAATAATCTTCTGGTAACCAATGCCAAAGACATGGAGATCTGTGGTTTACCTGAGAAAGAAGTCAAAATAGCTGTTTTAAGGAAGCTTCATGAGCTACAAGAAAACATAGAAAGACAACTGAATGAAATCAGGAAAACAATACACAAACAAAATTAGAAATTTAACCAAGAGAGAGAAATCATAAAAAAGAACCAAACCAAAGTTCTAGAGCTGAAGAATACAATGAATGAAATGAAAAATGCAATAGAGAGCTAGAGAGCGTCAACACCAGAGTAGATCAAGCAGAAGAAATAATCTGTGAATTAGATTCAGGAATTAATTCTAATTCACAGATTGTTGAATTACATTCAATATTGAATTAGATTCAATAATCTGTGAATTAGAAGACAGGACCTTTGAAATTATACAGTCATAGGAGAATAAAGAAAAAAGAATAAAAAAGAGTGAAGAAAGCCTATGTTATCTATGGAGTAACATCAAAAGAAACTGTGAATTATTGGAACTCCAGAAGGAGAAGAGGGAAAAGAGGGCAGAAAGCTTAAGTAAAGAAATAATGGCTGAGAAATTCCCAAATCTGCGGAGAGATTTGGCTATCCAAGTTCATGAAGCTTATAGGTCACCAAACAAACTCAACTTAAAGAGATCTCCAGGATACATTATAATAAAATTGTCAAAAATCAAAGACAAAGAGAGAATCTTAAAAGCAGAGAGAAAAACGAAGCTTGTAAGTTACAAAGGAACCCCATAGGACTGTCAGCGGATTTCTTAGTAGAAACCTTACAGGCCAGGAGAAAGGGAGATGATATATTCAAAGTGCTGAAAGGAAAAAAACTGCAAAACAAGAATACTCTAGCTGGCAAAATTGTCTTTCAGAAATGAAGGAGAGGTAAAGACTTTCTCAGACAAACAACAGCTGAGGGAGTTTATCACCACGACTGGTCTTACAAGAAGTTCTGAAAGGAGTTCTAGCTGAAATGAAAAGGTGCTAATTAGCAACATGAAAACATACAAAAATAGAGGCCAGCCCAGTGGCATAGTGGTTAGGTTCACATGCTCCACTTTGGCAGCCTGTGGTTCACAGATTGGGATCCCAGGCACAGACCTACACACTGCTCATCAAGCCATACTGTAGTGGCATCCCATATGCAAAATAGAGGAAAATTGGCACAGATGTTAGCTCAGAGACAATCTTCCTCAAG